AGAACCAATCAAAGACCTCCATGACAAGCTGAGTTTCTTGCGAAATCTAATTCGGTTCGTTATATTGCGAGGTGTTGCTGGTGAGCAGAGACAGTTGGTTGATGTCCTATCTCACATCAAGATTGTGGCAGTAAATGCAGCAGGCCTCGCTTACATGTACTGGGATGATGGAAAGGATGGAGAAATTTGCAACCAGCTGCAGGTTAGCATTTCCGAACTGCTGCAGAAGGTCAATCCCATTCATGCCCAAGTCCGTGAGATTTATATCCAAGTCCTGATAGCTTCAAATTCGTCATGGTCTTCATATGCTCTGACTGATGAGATGCATAATCAATTATTGGGGGATACTGTTGATTCTCTCCTTGGTAATCTTTGGGAGGCCTATTTGTTGTTTGGCATATCCTCAGGGAAGGCAATTTGATTACCCTTGTACACTTATAATTTGGTAATCCTTTGGCTTCAGACTATTTGTTGAAGGATAAAGTCTTACTTAAATCAAGATTGGTTGAATGTTAGTGGGTCTTTGTTGGTGTGGTGGCAAAGATTAGCTGCTTTGGCGGAGTTCTAACTTCACATCTGAAATGTGAAATAATTTAAGACTTCATCTTCAGCGTGTGTTTGTGTAGGTCAGTGTACAGGTAATATTACTAGTTTCAAAGTGTAGGTCAATGCAGCTTACCATGCCTGAGTAGATCTATCTGTTATTTGGCATAAACTCCTGGAAGGGGAATTGATTTGTTTCATTACCTTCGGTGACCCTGTGGCTTGGTGGATCTGGACTATTAGGAGCTGAAATCTCTAGCAACAACTCCCATTTTTGGGTTTGATATTTATTGTATGTTCACCCCTTTATAAGCCTGTCAACGGGTCGGAATTTGATCAGTACTTGCTTAATATTTTTAGATACAGGTATAGTTACAATTCCATTTGCCCGGACCCGACTTGGGCCCGTTTATGCTAATACAAAAATAGGTCGAATATGGAATATTTGGTTCTGGCCCAGACCGTTTGAATAAGTAATTATTTTGATAATATATTTGAGTATTTAATATTTGTTTGGATCTTTTAGAAATTATAATTTGTAGGCATTAGAGTAATTATCTAAAATAATTTGTGATTTTTAATTGAAATTTGTGGTGTGCAATTAATGTTTGTTTAAAGAGATATTTTCTTCATTTTTTCCCCTAAATTTTTTGGTTGGGTATGCCTGACTTGTATCGGAACCTGATGGAACCCGAATCCGAAATAATAAGTTTGAGACCCATCAGGTATTTAGGTTGACTCAGATACAAATATATATAGTTTGTTTGGATTGTAAGTTATTTGGGATATTTTTACTGTAGTACTTTTTGTGATGTGATATATGTGAGATAAAAAGATAATTGTGAAGATAAAAAGGTATATTAAAAATTGTAATGATCATATAAATAAATAAAATTTAAAAAATAATTAATCAAGTTCAAGTCGAAAATATATTCAATTTCGACCCGAATCCGATCCGTTGTTAGCCTTGCCCGTCTATTAGGACGCTGAAACGATAATGTCAACGGCTGTCAGAGTGCATATGCAGGAAAGACCACATCAGCGTAGACTTCAGCAGCGCTAAGTAACAAAAAGTCACGATTTGTAGATTTGTAGCTTCGGCTTGGGGGAGCTGTTCACCAGCCGCGTCTTCTTGCTAGATTTGACTAAGGCAAACAGGTGCTTGGGACGATGTATGTCGATAAGATGTGCCTATTTCCTTTTCCTGGCCAATAAAGAAGGACCAACCGGGAAGGATTCATGTATCATTTCTCAAGTCCAAGTAAAGCCATTTCATTGTGCCTTTCCAAGAAAGCACAATGACTGATGGTTGTGGTTTAATAATGGTGGAATAGTCATTAGGAATACATGTTACCTAATGCATTATTTAATGTTTGTCATTCTGAAAACACGAAGATAAATGATTTTCAATTTGTAGCCTTCATGTTCCCCCCAGACTTTACTCCTTGAGCTTAGCAATACAAGTTGTTGATATTTTAAGGAGATCATAGTGACCTTTTTGTTTTCGTTTGTTGATTACTGTAGGTTAAGATGATTTCGAGATGTTTGATTAATTTTTCAATTTCTTGTTCTAGTTTAGTGGTTAGGGAAGGGAGATTTTTAGTTCAATTTCTAGATAACTATGAGATTTTTGGTTCAATTTCTAATCCTATTTTAATTTTTTAAATACCGAAATTGAGTAACAAATTCAATGTATTGTCTCCAATCACAATTTAATTAATAGGGACATTAGTCAATAACTATGAGATTTTTGGTTCAATTTCTAATCCTATTTTAATTTTTTAAATACCAAACTTGAGTTTCTTTTAGCTTTAAGCCTTATTTTGGCCAAATACATGAGCAAATATAACCTAATTTTGACTCCTTACAAAGTTCCAATGGAGATAAGGGGTATACATTAGAGTTTAAGGGCCAAATTGTTATTCAGGCTCAAACTCATGGGGTCAAAGTGTATTTAGTGAGTCCACACAAATCATCGGACGGTTGTCGACAAGCCGCGCTACACTAAAGAACCAGGAAGTCATCATCAAGACGTCAATGGACACGCATTTCCAACTTTTACATTTTAATTCAATTTTTTGCAAGTTATAAATGAAAGTATTTTAGTTAGGGGTGAGCGATTAGGTAATTACAGAATTACCGACCAATATCGATTTGAATTTGATAATTTGAAGTTGGTAATTCGGAAATTCGATCGATAAATCGATGATACCGAATTAGTAAGAATTAAATTAAGGTCGAAAACGATTTTGGTGTTTTTGAATTCGGATTTGCAGAATTCGAATTTATTTCGATAAAATGGTAAAATAATATCATTTTCAAATTCGAAATTTTGAATAAAATTTAATATGAAATAAATATGTTCGGATGTTTCATTGATCAGATGCCACATTATTGTTCTCCCGCGTCATTAGTACTAAAGATTCTGTGCAAAAAAGCAAAATGATTGCTTGTCATTATTGTGTCCAACTTGCCATTATTCCGCTTTTGACTAAGTTTATTAGTTCTAAACTTTTATTTCATTTTTTGAAATTCGGTTAAATTGGTAAATGTCCGTTTTGTAAATGGAAATTAGATTGAATTCGAATTTGATAATTTCTATTTTGAATGCGAATAAGGTCGAATTTTTTCAGAACCATTTATCGAAAATTACCAATTTCAAACTACCGAATTACTGGCTTTCAAATTCGATGCTCACCCCTAATTTTAGTCCATAGCTAGCATCATATTACACGCAGCATAACATCGTACTTGAATAATACAAAATAAAATATAGGCTTAATCACAAGTCAATGATGGTTAAATAGTAACTTACCCCTTATGATTAGGAAACATACAAATTATATCTTGCAGGTAAATTATTATATAAGTTAAATTTTCTATGTATGAGAGGTTTGAAAGACAGTCGTACCATTAGATATATAATGATTTGATAGTTTCATAATCCGGAAGTCGTGGTATTGTATTTTTTTTTTCTATTAAAGAGTTTTGTAATGTCTGAGAAATGCTGAGACAACTACAAATGTAAATTGTTATAGAAATTATATAAATCATTTGACTAAACAAATGTTTAGTTACTTATGATAATTTATGGTATTGAAAACATTTTCTTAGAGAATACCAATATGTTTTTAAACACTGGTAGTATGTACATGTAAAAATTATTGGTATTTTTCAACAATTAAATACATACTTTTATATTTTTAATAAAAAATTTATATATTTAGTAATTATGCCTTATCACACAAAAAAAGGGAAAATCATATATTTATACATTTTTCTTCTTTTGGTCCTTATCAATAATCCGTTTGATGTTTAAATATATACTGGTGTTTTCATGATAATGTTTCAATGTCTTGAATTATCATAAGAAACTAAAATATTTATTTAGTAAAAATAATTTATGTGATTTCGATAATTATTTACATCTGAAGTTGTATCATCATTGTTTTTTTTGACACCACAATGTTCTTTTATAAAACGAAAATATAATAACATAATAGTTTCCTAAGGATAAAACTGTTAAAACAGAGTATGACCGCCTTTTCACACCTCATTCACAAAGAAATTCAACCCACATCTTTGGCAATTTGTCTCTATGGGACGACAACTTGCATAATCTCTCATTACAGGAAGCAATTTGTTATTCACAGGAGGTAACTTGCACTTGAGCCGGAAATATAATACGTACGAATTGTATACATATAATTTGTTTTCTTCAATAGCATTAGAAGTTCTAAGCAAGAATATGAATTCGAATAAATCAAAGAAGCCAGATTCATTTGTTGTTTAGTGGTTAACAATTCAATCTTTGACGCGTTTCATTTGCACCAATCATGTGTACCGTTGACCCTATCAATCAATTAAGCATTAAGCATTAAGCATTAGTTTAGTTTCTCGAAAACGGCCCAATCATGTGGGGAACTTGGGATTGGTTGGGGCACACAATCGCTTTACCTGCTTCGTTTTCACAAGTATTTCCATTGGAGAAACTGGGGGTTGGATGGATTCAGTCACATCACATATTGAGAGGTCGAGAAGACAAAATCACTTCTGAGAGAGAAGGAATTCTGAGAGCAATAGAAGAAGAAAGCAGATGGACTTCAAGACTTGCATCTGTTCAATCTTGGACAAGCTGCAGTTGGTTATGGAAAAGAGATATTTTTGCCAACCTCATCATGTTTTGCAAGTGCATTACCTGACGGTGGAGTTAAGACTGGTGAAAACATTTGTCCTGTGTTCAAGGAGATTGGCGTACTCTTCCGGAGTTGAAGACTCTGTTCATGGAGAAGCTTACAGGTTTTACAAGCTGCTTCTTGGGTCAGAGGATGGATTGCCCCCCAGCGACTTGGCTGCAGCGGTCTCTGGTTTCCGAGAAACTCTAATGGATTGTAAACATAAAATAAGCGAAGCGTATGTCGAGATGTTCTAGTTGGTTACGCAATCCATTGCTGGGGCAAGAATCCGACGGAGAATAAGAGAATACCAGCCCTGGAATCTGTTGGATCGCTTAGTGAAGCCCAGTTTTTCATCAGCAGACGAATTCATGGAATTCTTCCACTCCTTGCTGGAGAATGTTAAGGACGTTATGGAATGTGGTTTAGGATGTTGTGGAATGCTGGAAACCCTTCAAGAGAAGTTGGTATCCCTTGACAATTTGATTCAGTTTGCCACGCTACGAGGCAAGCCCCCCGGGGTAGTGAAGAAGCTTTGTGGAGCTGTGGTTCTATCTGCAGCACATCTTTGTTATATTTACTATTTGTTTTTAGATGATGGTAGTCAAGCATTTGATGAACTTAGATTGAAGATTACTGAATCAGTAGAGAACATCAAGCATGCTTATCAGCAAGTCCGTTTGGCTTGCTTTGGCGTCTTGCAATCTGGATCATCTTCGCTCATTGTGTCCACCCAGACCGATAGGTTTATAGTGGGGAATTTTGTAAGTTCACTTCTAGCAAATCTATTTGAGTTACTACTAAATTTTCCTTCCTGTTTTAATAGATCTCTGAAGCATCACTTGAAGATACTCTATGAGGGGCTTCAATTCCTGAGCATCATTCTCCAAAAGCAGCAAGAGAAGTATGATGGACTACCTCGAAGAACCAAGGATCTTATTGGAGCTGTGGTCGAAGATGCTGCAATTGTAATTTTCTCACTTTATCAGAAGAAAATCCGAGAAGCTTCGGCCAAGGAAACAGATGTTAAGCTCTTTTGTTTACTGTACAAGATTAAGCTTATTAAGGCAGAAGTTGAGGAACAGCATCCTGTCGATTTAAGGTTTAACTTTCCTACGACCAGTGAACTGGGGTTTATCGATCTTCTCCTACAAAAATTGAAGGAACTGGCAAGCAGTAAAGTGGATCCACTTGCTTTTGCTAGGGATGGAGCTGGCTTCTTAAAAACGTACTTGAAGAAGACCGAGGAAGATTCCCGAAGGTCTTTAAAGCAGGAAGTTCCAAAAGGGCTCCGATTACCTTGGCTGAATGAGATGGAGCAGCACGACCTGCAACACAAGCTCCAACTTCAAAGATTGAAAAAAGATATTTCATTCTTAAGATCATTTTTGAAAAATTATTTGGAGCAGCACAGCCGGAAAGACAATCTCAACCTTCAAACAATGCAAGATGGTCTTTTATTCTTAAGATCGTGGTTGGAGAATCATGGGGAGCAATGCAATCAGCACAAAGAACTTCAAGCCCTTTGGAGTCGTGTTATAGAGGTAGCATATGAAGCAGAGTTTGTTTTTGACTCCTTAATAGTTGGAGATATATCATTTTATTCCCTGCTATTATTTGATAAGATCACACAAAAAGTTAAGCTTCTTAAAGGTGAAGCCCTGAAGATTCATGACAAAAATTATGTCTTCAAATCCCTGACAGCTATCACAAGGTAATATTTCAGCAATAAATTAGTGGATGCTGAAATTAGCACTTCTATTTTGTTAATGACATTCCAATTGCTTTTGCAGTTGTTTAAATTGTTCCCCAACAACAAGAAGCAAGTGGAGTGGCAGTAACAAAGAGCTTAGTACTGATATAACAATCCAATGATATCATATCATACATGACAAATAGCTCCTCCACTAATTCTCATTGATTGTGTCTTAATTTGACGAAACGATATCGAAATACTTGACTCGCTGAGAAATCGGCCGAGTCGTCACCGCGAGGGATTGACTCGGCCGAGTCACTCCGAGTTATCCCGAGTCAAGACGAGAAATCAGCCGAGTCACACCGCGACGGATTGACTTGGCCATTTCTTTTGCTATTTTTAATTATTTTTATTTAGCATACTTTTTTATATTATTAACAATTTTTAGAATATTAAATACTTTAAAATTGGCGTCTCACCGAGACCGCGACCGATATTCCGAGACCGATGTGGAACGTTCCAGGCCGCGACCGCGACCGTGACCGTGCCTTTTAACCATGGTACTGATAGTGCTACTCAAATTGAAGCTGTGGTGGGTTTGAATGAGGAGGTAGAAGTGATAATCAATCAACTTAAAGGAGGATCAATGCAGTTGGACATGCTTTCCATTGTGGGGATGCCTGGGATAGGTAAGACAACTCTGGCACAAAAGGTTTACCATGATCCTTCAGTTACATCTCACTTCCATGTTCGTGCTTGGTGTTGTATCTCTCAAACATATAGCAAGCGAGATCTGTTGTCTGAGATTTTGGCTTGCATTGATCAGAAAGCTCAATTTTCTGAGATGAAGGAAGATGATGATTTGGCTGATATAATCCGTAAAAACTTGAAGGGAAAGAAATATCTCATATTTCTGGATGATGTATGGGATATTGAGGCATGGCATACTTTGAAAATATCGTTTCCTGATGATGCCAATGGAAGCAGAATTCTCTAAACAAGTCGGGATCATGAGATTACTGGAAATCGTCATGTTGTTCAGCTACTTACTGATGACGAAAGCTGGGAATTACTACAGACAAATGTGGCAAATGCTAGAGAAGAAGTCTACCCTCCAGAACTGAATGTTCTTGGGAGGAAAATAGCAAGAAACTGTAAGGGGCTGCCTTTATCAATTGTCATCATATCTGGAATTCTTGCTACTCTAGATCAAGCTGGTTGGGTGGAAGTCTTGAATAGCCTAAGTTCAAACATAGTTTGTGACACGGATCAATGCAAGAGTATACTGGAATTGAGTTACATACATCTACCTGATCATTTAAAGCCATGCCTCCTCTACTTTGGAGCATTTAGAGAAGATCAAGCAATTCCTACCCAGAGGTTGAAGTGGTTATGGATCGCTGAAGGATTTGTTCAGAAGAATGAGTCAAAAAGCCCAGAAGAAATTGTAGAAGGCTATATAACGAGTCTAATTAAGAGAAGCTTGGTTACAGTGGGGAAACAGAGATCTTTAGGCGGGGTCAAGACCTGCCACATTCATGATTTGTTGCATGTGTTTTGCAAGGGAAAAGCCAAAGATATAAATTTTCTACAACTGTCTAAGGAGGCGTTTGATGGGCCACACCACCTACGTCGGTTATCATACGGCTCTGATCTCAAGTATATTGCAAAATCAAGGATATTTTTTACCCGTATACGCTCTCTGCTGCTGCGGTGTAATTACTTCAGCAGTAAAGACACGGACTATATGCTATCTTTTGTTTTTGTCCTGAAACTTCTTAGAGTCTTGGATTTGGGAAATACGGAGATAGGCTATACTTTCCCAAGTGAATTATGCTTGCTTGTTCATTTGAGGTACTTGGCAGTAAAATTTCAAGGCCGTAAGCTGAAGATCCCATCCTCACTTGCGAACCTTTCAAACTTGGAAACTTTACTTCTGACGGTACATTGTTTTGACAGAGCACATTGTTTACTGCCTGATGCTTTGTGGAACATGCAGAAATTGAGGCATCTCCATGTGCATGGTGCTTTCATTGATATTAGGTTGGCCAATGACAGCCTTGACAGCTCCTCCACTTTATATGATTTAGCCACCTTTTCCACTCCAAAGTTTTATCTGGGGCAAAGCATGGTACAGATGATGAGAAAGTTTCCAAATGTTCGTGAACTGAAATGCCGTTTGCTAGAATCCGAAGAATCTACTGGGGAGAGCAACGCCATTGCGGAAATGGGCTTTCTGACTCAACTAGAATCACTAAAGCTGACTCTAGGTAATGTGACAGCACATCATATTGAATTTCGTCTCCCCTTAAATCTTAAACAGCTGACCCTTGAGTACTTTCCTTGGAATATGATTTCCACAATAAAAGAAATACATAATCTTGAGGTTCTTAAAATACTTCAACCAGCTGATGGAGTAGAGGAATGGGACATGGAAGACATGGAAGAAGAGGAAATCTTCCCTAAACTCAAATTCTTGAAATTGGAATCCTTGCAGACAGTCAGGTGGAGAGGCTCAGGACATCATTTTCCCAGTCTTGAGAAATTAGTTTTGGAGCGTTGCAAGGAATTGAAAGAGCTGCCTTCTTGTTTATAGGAAACATTAACTCTTCAATTGATTGAGGTGCGTGGATGTCTACGCTTTACTGGAGATTTTGTTCGAGATATCAAGGAACAACAGGTGGACTACGGAAATAAGGATCTGAAAATCCTTATCTCGCGTGAAATTGGTCTGAGTTAAGGACACTCCTTCACGGTCCGATTGAGTTTCAAAAGGATAATCTGCCATAAGGGTGAATATTCTGTATGGCTTTGTTTATAATGACGTGACCTTGTTGCTTTAATGCATACATATGATGAAAATTGTTATTGAACAAATAAATGTAGTGCTTGATAAATTGGTTGTGAAAAAGTTGATGATTAATACACCACCTTTTGGCAGATGACTATAATCAAGTCTATAAAGTATCTGTTGATTCCATTTTGCAGAATACAAACTCAGGATCGTGAAGTTGTGTATCAAAACATGTATCACAATAGCTTTATCAGAAACTGGTAATACAATAGCTTGTACTGATGCTTAGTCAAGTGTGTTGTGTCATGGAAGACGGATGCTATGAAGGTGATGGTATGTGCATCTGGGGTACGTATCATGTGTTGTGCTATGCTATTAGCTTGGACCTGTTCTGCTCACTGAATGAACTTTTGAGATGCTGGTCTGTTTAATTTGTGCTATGAAAGGTTGAGGAGACTTGAAAGTGGGAGCTGATTTGTACATAGTAATGCTTCATTTGTATTGGTCTGAGCAAATCAAATCCATCCATCAAGTATTGGTTTGCGCCATGACTAGTTGCCAGAATAATGCAATTTCTACTTCAACTTTCTAGCATCAGAATAGATCAATTTGGTTAATAAGTTAAATTATTACTTATTACTTAGTTGTTAAGAGTAATTTCACATTTGGTGTTTTTTGACTAGTGCAACTATTTTGAATTGTAAGTATTTTTTTATTGAGATTTGTTAAAAATAAAATAAAAATTGTTAGCAAAAAATTATGTTGATTTGTTTCTTCTATACTTTATAAATAAAGAGCTCATAAATGAAGAATCCAATCCTTCAAGACAAGACTTTATTATAAATCATTTTTTTGCAACTAAGTACAAGTATTGTTTCTCAGTTTATGCTCTAAATTCCAACAAAGTCGCATCAAAACCAACACTAATCCACTTGGTTACATTCATAGTAGAATTTTGGGTCGGAGACAGAGTACAATGAGGGTGAGATGATCTTTACGTTGACACGATCCTTGTCATTTCTACGATCATCTGCCAACTTCCTTCCGATTCTCTGCCGGACTGCCGGTGGTTGGTCCGATTACAACAGCATCGGAGATATATTAATGTTATCCTGCCATGAGAATAACTTAGGTTTCTTGATCAATGTGGCTTGTGGAAGACTGCTTAATTTTTTAAATTTTTTAAAAATAAATGTGTTTACATATAAACCACAATTCACTTGATTTTTAAAGTGAAAGTAGTATTATGTGACCCAAAAAAAAAATAAAAGAAGGAAGAGGGATTTTGTGATCAACCATATTGTGTTTGACGTGCTTTTATGATTAGATTCAGATTAATTTATTTCTGTTCTTCATTGTAGGAATTGTATAGGTAGTAGAGGAATAGCTTTCTTGATTTTAATATTCTGACTTCAAAGAGAAAACAAAAATGACCAGTTGATGGTTGGAGATGATTACGGATTAAAAATGTTTTCAATACTTAATTGTAACTATCTGCAAGTCATGAACGTATGCATAACCGAAAATGATAAAATCTTTTAGTAAAGAAATTTTTTTTATAATCTCCTAATTTTGTCATTAAACTTTTTATTTAACCAAATTAGTCGTTAACACCTTAAGTTTAACTAAATAAAACGTATAGTTTTTGGACCAAAAATTGCATTTTTTTAAATTAAGAGGCCACAAGTGTACTTTTATACTAGCTGAGTGACCCAAAAAACAATTTTTTAGCTATTAGTTCAGTTAATCATTTTGACTAAATAAAAAAATTTTAGTAACCAAATTAGAAAATTTTCAATAATTTAATGACTATTTTTTATCACTTGCTCTAAGATAAAGAATCCGGCCGAAACTGATAGACCAAGAATATGTGGTAATACAAAAGTGGTTGTTGATAAGTTCCATTTGGAATTTCATCACATGACATCTCAATTTTCGGTGCGTTAATGGACCGAACTGCTGTAGAATGAAGTCTTCGGTTGAATAATACATCTTCCATAGAATAACAATAATGTTTGCTTTGCTATATTACCCTCTATGAATAACAAAGAAACATTTTAAAGAATTAATTGCAAATACCCCCTCAAAAAGTATCTATTTCTTGTACTGTCTTAGTGTCTCCAATGTCCAATTGAATAAATCACTCCTTAAAATCAAATTGAGAATTTACTTTAATTTCCGAAAATCACAGAGTTTGTGACTTTGCTATTTTCCTCCAACAAACTTATATGCATATATTTTGTTTATTATTATTATTTTTTTTTAGTGTAAGTGGGAGGGTTTGAACTCGAAACCTGTCACTTATACTTTCTCCCCCCAAACTATTGAATCCATCCCTCTCATAACAAACTATGTATATATGTTGATTTTTTCCTCTTAAAAAAAATTCACTATGGATTTACAGTACTCTATCAGAAACCTTTTTTTGTTTTCTGGCCACAGACTCTTTAATTAAATGAATTAATACTTTTAAATTTTTTGGAAAGAGTTGGATTAGATGATAAAGTGTGAGAGATTGTACGCAGTGTTTTAAGATTCGAATCGGACCAACTGGTTGACATGATACCAATCCAACTTAATCTATAAGAAACCTAAAAGTTAAAAAACGAGTTAGAATCAATCAAAATTAGTGAATCGAAATAAACCAATAAAACTGGTTAGGTCTGGTTTTTGGATTTTGACCTGGAACTTGGACCTTTTTTTCTATGGGCTGCTCACTTTTTTTAACGTTCTGTCAAAATCCAACAACTACAACTAATTGTCTGCTACTTCAATTAAGTTGGTTGATGGGCTATTTTTTTTTTCTCAAATTAAAATAAAAACCTTAGTTTAAAAATGACTAATCCAACTAAAATTTAAAGAAACCCTTAATTTTCTTCCTCCTCCAAGAATCTTTACCTCTAGGAGCCATTCTACAAGCTCAACTCATCTTCTCTCTTTCCCTTTTTGTTCTTCTTTCCCTCTTCTCTTCTATCTTTTCTTTTATGTTATTTATGATGAAAACGATAATGAAGTTGAACTCGGTAGATAAAAAAACACACTTGTTTTCCCTTTCATCTTCCATCTTTCAGTTTCATATTAATGATTTTTTTTTTCTGTTTTTTGGAGTTAAGTTTACAAATCCTATCAGATTTGTTTTTTAGTTGGGAGAGTTGGGGTATATATAACATATTCTTAATTTGAAAAACATATAAAACACTTATACTTGCCTTTGGGTCTCAGTAATCAGGCTTGTGATGTCAAATTACTTGAACTTTTATTTTTGAAAGATACAATAAGAATCAATGGTATCTTGAGATATCAAGTACTTTTAAACTTACACACAACCAAGAATGTTGAGCTCACTTTCATGAAGCCTTTTGAAAAATGATGAATGCATTTTGGCCAAGAGTAACCTTGAATGATACATTAGCTTCCATCTTACCAAGAACGGGGCATGAACAATTACACCTCTCTTGTTTTTTGCTAAAGTGCTTGACTAACGACTTTTGACAAAGAATAACTTGAACGGTGCATTTGTTTCAATCTCATTGAATAGATATAAAAGTGCCTTAACAATTATTTGGCCTGATTGCTTGAGATACTCTATGGCAAAGATTAGCCATAATGTAACTCTTACTTACATATTCATTACAACATAAACTAATGTTTAAATTGTACATTCGTTGCATTGAAAGTGTACAATTGCCATAATAAGTGACATTCGTTTCATATGCATATTTCTAGTATAATGGTGTGACCAATTGTGAGCCCTCAATCCGTGTAGAAGTGCAATGCTTCGTTGCCAAAAGTTGAATTCTTTTGCATTGGAAGTTGCTTGGGATTTTCACTTGCCTTATCTCGAATAAGCAAATTCTAACGCAGTCTTCATGGAACTTCACTTGCTAGTAATTAATATCTTTGTTATGTGGTGCAGCTGGAGCAGGAAGGAGGACATGTGGCCACAGCTGTTGAGTGCTACGTGAATGAATATGGGGTTACAAAGCGAGAGGCATTTGACGAGTTTAACAAACAGGTAGCCAATGCTTGGAAAGATATTAATGGAGAATGCCTCAATTCAAATGCAGTGCCTATGGCCGTTCTTGAGCGAGTTGTGAACCTTGCAAAGGTCATAAATCTGTTATACAAAGACGAAGAAGATTGGTATACCCATTCTGCGACCAAGCTCAAGGACACCATTACCACTGCGCTTATAGATCCAATCCCAATGTGTAAGTGAAGATCAGATGGTGAAACTTCAGCAGTTAGTTTTACTTCATAATATTAATAGTATGTTGGGCGTCGTTTCTTGCTAAACTCAAATGCCACTTGCTGAAACACACAATAAAAAAGTGGTTGGGCCACATTTTTAGCCCGCCAAACGGGCCGAGAGCAAGCCCGCATATATTATAGGACAGACCAAACTTTCTTAAGGACATGCGACATTGGATTATTTATGACAATGTCACATCTAACTGCTGAAGTATGTCTTGTGTGCAGCCTTCTAATTGTAGTTCACAATTTTCTGAAACCTATCCACAAATGGGACTCAACCACTCCATCAATCTGATAAATTATAAATTCTGCACGTGTATATACATCAACAGGAATTTCTTTCAGACTAATCCATGTGGCTGAGTTCAACCTGTTCAGCTTCGTAGCAGATTTCTATGCAATAGTATACTAAGAAAAAGTGTCTCAGTAAGCTGCATAGATTTTTCTGGGAAATGTTTGTTTGTAGTATGTGATGGAAATTAATGCAATCTACATTTCTAGGTGCTTGCATCATCTGCTTTAGTGTGACAAGTAAACATTACTGTTGATTGGCTCCTTTGTCATGTTTTTGCTTTCTTGCTTGATTTCTCCTCAAGTTTCTCCGTGGTTTTTGATGATTCCTCTGTCAGGGACAGCAGAATGCCCTGCCATCAGTCCTTTAATTTCCCTCGTGCAACTAAATGAAGCTTCACACCGAGACAGCTCCCAGCCTCCCAACTACTGCTCTTTCTATTGCCACCTTCATATTGGTTTTTTTTTTTTTTAAATTTACCCAAAGCAAGGTGAAGGATCTAAATAATTTATTATTCGGGTGGAAATTTTAACATCAGTAAAAGATGTAGGTGCACGACATTTGAACATTCATCTGGTTTGATTTGGTTGATTTAAACTAAGATTTTCTCAAACTAATGTGAAGCGTGCTTGGGTTTTTCTTGTTACTTCAGCGGTTAAGTGAGAAAAAATTGTCCGAAGTTGAAGTTCATGTGCAACCGGGAAAATAGATACTTATGAGAAACTTGACAATTTCAAGCATGAGGCCGAAAGAATTCATGAATTTGTTTTCCAAGGACTTGTGTACCTGGAGAACATCAACCAAAATGTGTCATCTATAAGAGCAAATCTATAAAGGAGAGCTAAGACAAGATACCTTTAATGCATACATAAGACTGATTAGTAGCTGATCAGGCAACTGAACCCCCAGATCTGAAGACTGTAAGCGGCACTAGAATGACTCTCTGAGTATAGACTTAATGGATTTGGATTACTTCGCACACCTTCTGTGCTTTTGACAAAGGTTAAAAGTCTCTGCTTAAGTCTGGAGACATTAAACATTGACAGACTCAATTTTTTAAGTCAGAAAGTCTTGATTTTGTAATTTGGTGGCTTTTCTCTAGCAATGATGTACAAGACATTTTAGGTGACATTTTAGGTGACGCCGTTACGAGTGACTATTTCCGTTACTTTGACACTTTAATCCAAACCATAAGGGGGTTATGTATAGCTTTTGAAACTATAGGGGGGTTATGTGAAAAAACGCTAAATCACAGGGGGGTAAAGTGAAATTTGCCCTGAAATGTAAGCCTTTTGTGATGGATATCACTGTGTATTGGTTATGAATATATTTGGAGGTGAATTTGATGAAACCATGTTGCCTAAAAATTTTATCATCTCAAAAGTAACACGATTTATTTTAGGAATTTTTGGATGTTTCAAAGCAAGAATTTGGATCTTAAATTGTATATATATGTGTGTGTGCATCATGTTGCATTGAACTTAACATTACGTTTGGTATAAGCTTTAATTAAGTTGAATTAAGACTCAGCTTACAAGCCCAACCTCAACTTATCATTTTGAAATAAAATGGACAAAATTAAATAACTGCAAATAATAATGGTGAATTCTAAATATGAACATTATCTTCTTTTTTTTTCTCTCCTTTATTCCTTAATCATTCTTTTTTCTTTAGCTAAACCTAGGGAATATATCATCTCTTCAGGTGTTTCAACTTAGGGATGAAAATTGTTAAATTTGCAATGAGACTCTTAAATTAAGTCTTTTTTTTTTTTTTTGAGGTGTAGGGCATAATCTTTTGCCTAATTGGTGTGTCAGTTGTCAGTGTAAAATAGAAAGCTTTGGATTTTGGTCCTAACTCTATACAATAGATTTGTATAAAATATAATAAAAACTCAAATGCAATAATATGTTAATCGTCCATTTTATGACAACATAATCTGTATACCCTTAACTACATGCACTTGTGATGCGTTTAACACTACTATTGCTGTAATCATTTCTTAACATGACTTTTAAGTAATCCTCCATTTTTATATTTTTAGCATTTTAACCATAAATCTAATTAATGGCTGCTTTAAGCATGTACGCTTTCTTGGCACCTAAGAAAATTGTAGCCCTGCCCAATCTGACAAAAGCTGCTGTCCTAATCTGCACTAATAGCCACAAAACCAACGGTTACCCACTGCTACCATGAACTAGCATAAAGCCAAAGGGTAATATGCTAAGCACTTCTGATATTGTATCAGGAAGCACACGAGATTTGGAGTACTGGTTGAAGGCCTTGAAGCAAGAAACCTTCATATCTTTGGGGGAGGGACAATCCGGCACCTGTACAACCACATAATAGAGAGAGAGATGTCTGGTTTTTATTAGACAATTGACACTGTCTAATTTTGCAAATTATAACAAGATTAGCAGATTTAGTTTATGCCTAGGAACCCGAAAAAAAAATTGACAGCGGTAATTTATTAATAGAGAAACTAATGGCACTTTATTACCAATTAAATATTTCAATGTCCAGTCAAAACAGTCTTCGACATTTCAAACACAAATTATAATACTACCTAATATCAGAATGGATAGGTCGATTAGACATTATATCTTTGGTAATTAAGCACAAAAATAAGAACTCGAGCCTCCTTTGATCAGAAAACAAATCATTAAGAAAAAAAAAAAAAGAACAAAAAGTTGTTGAATTTTATCCTCAGGTTAAGAGCATCCTAAATCAAATATTCATATTGATCAAGCCAAGAACCATGTCCTGTCTTAAAGCAAATTTATGCATTGTTCTGCTTAATTCTTTTATTTGTTACAACCGGCTACTAATTGCATAGTGGATCCTTTGCATAATTGATTTTATGTCATGATCTTTGGATTAGGTTTGCTTATTACTAATATAGGGTATCACAAAGGTAGATTAAGGGTTGGGTGAGGTCCATTTCAAATTTGATGCTCAAGTTCGCTTGCAAACATCAATTATGTATACAAACATAAAAAATTGTTTACAAATGATATTTTTGTGTGTATGATAAAATGAATACTAATCTTTCTTAAACATGGTTTTTTTTTCTTTTTGTACATGTTTTTACAAATGCCTGTCGTATGGCTTACCAGGAAAGTGTGAAAATTTAATGTCCTGTCCAAATCTCACAAAGGGTTTTCCTAGTCCCAACATTTTTTTGCTTCTGGTATAATGACCAATATTGCTGGTCAGTACATATACTCCTATTATGCTCACAGGGGAATGAAGATTAGCTATTCCTAATCCAAAGGTAGAGGCGAATTCTGTACAAATTAATGTAATAGGAGGGCTGAAATTTTGGTGGAGTCAAGATATTTGCCGTTTTTATAATGACCAATATTGACCCATTCTTTTTTCTTCTTTCGGCTTGGTCTTGCAACATTGCAATAACGTCAATAGAATGCAGATTTGAAACTAAAAAAAGGTTACTAGGAAAACATATGATGGGAAATTACTTAAAACTATTCAGGTATGATTTCTTTAGCCATGGAATTTTATAGTCATTTAAAAGATTTTTATTGGTACATTTGAAAATTCACACTCAAAACTTAAGATAAAAAAGCATAGTGCCACAAATTAAAAAAGAATGTCTGAAATTTCACCTAAAAAATGTTGACAAATTTATGTTAATAAAAGTTTTAGAAATAATACTTTCTTCAAAGCAAAAACTAAAAAGAAAAGAAAACTAATTAAGTTGAAACACCTGAAGGAATGTTTCCCTAGGTTTAGCTAAAGAAAAAGAATGATTAAAGAAAAAGGAGGGAAAAAAACACATTGTTCGTAATCAGAATTCACCATTATTCCATTTTATTTCAAAATAAAGTAAATTAAGCAGTAATTATATCTAAACCTAGTTCACCTTCTCTATGTGGTTATAGGTTTTCTCTCATCAAGAATAAAAGAGCTGTGCTGCATGTTTTGGCCAAGGACATTGATATCAAAGAAAGTATTCTTGATCAATTCTTGTTGACATAAAAAACGGAAACCATGCATTCCATAATAAGGAAAATTTAGTTCCACCCTTTCTTTTTTTCCTTTTTTTTTGGGTCTTGGGAGTTTGATTATCTACAAATTAACAATACATCATTGACTGAGTGTGACTTTGATACAAGTAAGGTGGCAACATACATGGTTGGAGATTTTCTTTTGGTGTTCACGTCCTCGGGTTGCGTTAATGTCATCAAGAAACTGCATAAACACTTTGTATATTGGTTCCTAGTAAACAGCATAGGATTACTTAATTTGAAACAGGTTAATTTGAATTAATTTCTTCATTCATCAAAACTAAAAAGAAAAGGAAAATATTCATATTCTTGCATGACATATTTTCCTTTCCAGTTAACAATAACCAAAGTGAAAGCTTAAAGCAATTTGGTCTCTACGGTTGTTTTTTACTCACTAATTTGCAACCCTAGATGTGTCCTTTCCTAAGCAAATAATTCACCAGGACTGAAAAGTATCTGTTGATGGCTTTCATTTAGGGGCACAGAGAGGTTCAAATATATGTCTCTTTTTCTATTTTTTGATAGTAAACTTCTTCTGCTATTATCGCTTCAAAGTGGTTGTTAGTACACTTGGGGAAAGGGGGCAGCCTCTTTTTGGATCCAAAGCCACCCTCCCTCATTCAATCTATGCCAGGGTACTGTTAT